ATTTAACCACACCTAGTCTCACCACTAGTGGCCGCTGCGTCCTCCACAGCACACCCTTAAACAATACCAACTCTAAAAACTCAATAGAGCTATGAGCGCAAATTTTTGTTATTCTCCTTTTTCCCAGGGCAGCTGTTGAACAGCACAATGGAAGGGTTTTAACATGTTTTAGTTTTTCCACCAATGGATCGGCTGCAGCAGCAGCAGCAATCAAGTGGCAAAAGCCCAGAGAAAAGGTAATGGAAGCAGGGGGAGATGTGTCTAATGGGCTTTTATCTGTGGAAACCAAATCCAGACAGGCTGCTGGGAGAAAAAAAAAGACTAGAAAGGCAGTGGGGGAAGGAGTCGGCTGCCATTTATACACTCACCTGCACTCTGTGGCAGCTGACCCTGATGGTTTGGTCGTTGGTGTGATGTGAATTAACCACTGGCATTTGTTAATGAGTAACCGTGGTGATAGATGAAACCCAGGAGGCAGTAGAGAGTCATGTTTACAACTAACTTCTGTTTGGATGACGTCCTCCTGGCGCCCAAAGAAGATTATTTTTGAGAGATTATATTTCAAGCCTCAGGTAAAAGTCTTTGTGTTTTGGCTGCTGCAGAATTTTGATGAGATTAATAAAGACGTTAAAAAAAATATGATATCAAATCTTTGGCCTTCATTTTGACTAAACGCACCCCTGTGGATTCAGACGCATTTATTCACGCTGTGATATGGCCGACTTGGCTGTCAAGGAAATATTGAAAGATAACTCCAAGAGATCTCCAAATGTCTTGATAAAAGTGTGGCATTTTTCTAAAGCATGCTAATTATTCCCACTGTTGGAATAACGTCAACGTCGTCTGTCACTGTTCTGATGTTTTGTCACCAGAAGAAGATCAGCTCTGACTGTTTCCTTCATGGAACGTCAGAGCCCAAAGAAAGTGCCAAAATGCTTCTTTAAACGTTGGGCTTTTAGCTACGGAGGAAAAGTTGAAGCAGTGAAATTAAATCTGACACCAAGTGAAACGTTTGGTTTTTTATGTGTAACTGTCGTTTCTTTTGCTCACAGCACCACGGGAGACAAACCAGGATGGTAACGCTGCGTTCGTAACCTGCTGCAGATCGACGACGGCCTCCATACCTTCACGCTCCTCCATTGAACACTGACCACCTTTTGTCAGCCATGTCTAACCTAAACAATGCACTTTGCGTTGAAAATGGACAGAGCGCCGACGTGTCCCTCTTACAAAAGGATACTCTTCAGGATGGTGGATTAAGCCAGCTTTTGGATTATAACGCTGAAATGGAAAGGTACAGGTCTTTTGCAAACTTTTACAAAACCAACGGGGCATTTCCTCAGACTGCCAAAATTGCCCGCATCACGACGCCCATTTTCCCCAGCGCTAGAATTGGCATGTCCCCCTGGAACTGTGATAACGCCATGCTCTGGGGAAGGAAATCAGCGGCAATAAACCCTAATAGGACCGGCATGCATAGAAATGACTCCCAGAGACCAGGGAAGCCTGGCGTGCCGCCAGAGACGCTGCAAATGGCAAATAATAATTTCCTCTCTACCTTATCCCCTGAACACTGCAGACCTTTAGCAGGAGAATGCATGAACAAGCTGAAATGCGGCGCTGCTGAAGCAGAGATAATGAATCTCCCAGAACGCGTTGGAACTTTTTCCGCTATTCCGGCTTTAGGGGGCATCTCATTACCTCCCGGGGTCATCGTCATGACAGCCCTTCACTCCCCCGCAGCCTCAGCAGCCGTTACAGACAGTGCGTTTCAAATTGCCAATCTGGCAGACTGCCCACAGAATAATTCCTCAGCATCCAGTGGAAACCCAGCAAAAAAGAAAAGGAAAAGGTGTGGGGTCTGTGCACCCTGCAGGCGTCTAATCAACTGCGGTGTGTGCAGCAGTTGTCGGAACCGCAAAACGGGCCACCAGATCTGCAAGTTCAGGAAATGCGAGGAGCTGAAAAAGAAGCCAGGCTCATCGTTGGAGGTGAGAACCAGGGCTCTGCTCTCCCCGTCTTTTGTTATTATCCCCTTGCTCTCCGAAGCATTAACCTTTTTATCCAGTCACGTTCTAAGCCCTTGAAAATTGTTTCCATGCCCACCCATGCCTGAACATCCCCCCGGTTTCACAAATCTGCCTACCCGCCTAGCCTAATTGGCAGTAATTAGGGGTTTTTGTGCGGAGCGCAAGCTGAGCTTGGCTCAGACACCCCTAATTGCTGCCAGTCAGGCTGGGGCTGGAAAGCATCCGAACAACCCCGGGCTTGGCTCAGCTCCAAGCAGGGCTGGGAAATGGTTTTCAGCAGAGAGCCATCCCTCTCTGCACCCGGTCATTTTAACCAATTATGGAAACCGTCTCTGGATGGAGGGAATCGATATCCCACAAAGCCCTAGCCTCCGACCACCAGGAGATAGTGAGAGTGATGGCCGAGCTGCTGATTGCATTTCTCAAAACATCTCCGCAAGTTTTCGTGTGTGGCAGAGCGTGGACACAGACGTCATCCGTCCGGTTATTGAGCACACTGCAGCACAGCGTAGGGGTGAAATTGCGCCGTATTAAATTTGTTTCATTATGGCCAATTATAGATCAACATATGGGAGGTTGTCCATGAAGGACGGATGAAGGAGTTAGCTAAAAAAAGTCGCTTCCATAATTTAGCGGTTAGCACGCCTGCCTCGGAAGCAGAGAGTTCGATTCCCAGAGGAACGACATGCTTAGCGCTGGCTAGGGGCAGCCTGTTAACAGCGTATCTGCTGCTAACACAAGAATTTCCCAAATATGGGATCAATATAGTACAAACAACCAGGGGGCAGTGTTGTTCTTAAAAGTTCATTTAAATCGAAACTATCTTTCTCCCAGGAGCAGAAGTAGAAGTGAGGTTAAAACGTTTGGTTCTGCTCACTGACTGAAGCCCGAACTTGACTTTAAAAACGAAATGAACTTTGACCTTAACGTCTTATATGTCCGCGTGCGTCTGTGTCTTCATCCAGGTGTGTCTTCCTGTAAGTCGTGAATCTCATTTGTTTCTGCTTATTTTCACTGACCGTGAGGACATTCTTCTGTGTTTATTATGAAGAAGCTATTTCATGGAGTATTTAGTGATGAATTTATTTATTCAAATAAATTCCGTTTGGAGGTTTTATATCATCGACAGCTTCGCCGCGCTGCAGCTTAAGAAGGAAGTGGGTGTTTTAGTCTCTTTAAGCCTAGAAGATGCAGGAAGTGGGTGTTGTTGTTTGTTTTTTAATATAAGTGACGCTCAGTCAGTTTAATGGCATGTGCTGCTGCATTTAGACTGGTGGACATTAACGACAGTTCAGAAATGATGCTGCATTTGTGGAAACACGGCGACATTAGTTTGAATGATGTCACTGACGAGACACTGAGTGTTGGTTGGAACCCTGTTCCGTGTTGACTCCATACATCATGTGCTGACAGGCGCCACAAACAGGTGTCCAGGAAGCGGGTCTTACTGTATATTCCTAATGCATGGTTTAGACTCACTTTTGGAAAACATCCATTTGCAAAGACAGTTAGAATTACCCCAGGTGTGAAAAAAAAAAAAATCCTAAACGAATCTGTACTTGCTGCTTAAAAAAAACCCTCCTTCAGTTGGTTCTAAATTTCATGTCCTACAGTAATTATTATTTTTCACTGTGCATCTGTAATTACGTGAGCGCCTTCTGCTGCGGAAACAGGTCTGGGTTTTACAGGAAGCTCACAGGTGTGAAGTTGTGCTCCGGGCACGGTGTCATTGTTTTATGTGCTGGAACAACGAGGGGCATTTTGGGGGCATTTGGTCGGTGCTGAAGTTGACTCAGAGCAGAGTGGAGAAGAAACAGGAGGTTTATGGGGGATCAGGAACACACTCTCGGCCCTCACCGCACACAACACACACACAACACACACACAACACAACAGACTTGAACCAGGTGTGACTCTGGTCTTGGCAGAGACGGTGGAGATTCGTCTGTCAGTGTTTTCCACATGGGACTCACCCTGAACTAATTATATCTTAAGCAGCGGTGGAAATGCAAATCAGAATTTTACTCACACCCCAGAAATTGGAGAGCCAATTTAATCTAATACCCCCTTTAATTTAGCGCGCTAATGCAGGGCCCTGGAGAATTGCCCTGTGTCACTGCCGCTTCTCTCTCTCTCCATTTCTCCCTCTCTCTGCCGCTCTCCGGCTCCAGGACGGATTAGTCTGAGGAATCTCATCTAACCTAACATTTCCTGAGCAGTTACGTTTGCGCAGCTCCAGCTCCAATGGCTCAAAGGTCTTTCATTAGCTTTCAAATGAAGTAATGCTCATCTGAGCCTGGCTGCGTCTTCTTTTACCTGTTTGGCTCAACTTTTACTTTTCCTTCTTCGGGCACTTTCCAACTCTCTCCAAACTGAGAGAGTTGGAAACACCTCCTGAATATAACTGGGAAAAATGAACACAGAGTGACCCATGAACCTATTGTTGTCAAGAAACAATATCTCAGATATTCACGCAGTATAACTTAACAAGTGTTGGCTGAAAGTATTGAGTTCATCAGAAGAAGAGTTCATGTTTTGTTTTGAAATATTATTCACTACACTTGTCCATTTGCATTTACATTACATTTTAGGGGATTTTTGCGGGGGTGGTGGTGGTCTACATGAATGATTTTTGCTGAATTAGCAAAAAAAAAAAGTTGCAGTGTAAGGGATTTTACTTTTCGTTATTTTTAAACTCCAGCCTCCAGCTATCTTTTTTTTATTATTATTAAAAGTGAAGATTACCTCATGTTATTTTTTAATGTGATATGAAGAAGGACATCTTTGGATTTTAGAGCTATTGTGAACTAATGGTCCTGGTGGGAAAGTTCAGTCTTTTAAGTTAGCAACTGTTTCAACATCATATTTATGTGCGTGAGTGTTGACGGTCGAAGAACAGACGTGTTCTCAACCTACGGTATGTCATTACTGGTACAAATAGAAATGCGACCTGGAGGTCAGCTGTACTAGACCTAATTAAATACCTGTCAGTCATTTGACCATGCAGTCAAACTCAGCAATGTTCAAACACCAGACTTCAACTACAGTCACATCAGTCTGTGAACCTTCCTGAATCTAGAGGCCAGGACAAACTTCAGTTCCAAAACCTGAAAAAAAAAACACAGAGATGAGAAAATATGGCAACCATGTTGTTCATTCGACCGTTCAAAGTTTCTGTTCACAGTATTTTCTTTAGTAAACTTGTTCTATTCCTTTGCACGTACATTATATTCCTTGTGTTTAAAACCTGGGATGTTCAACTACCGGCCTGGGGCCACTTCTGGTCCACGAACTTTCCACATTCGGCCCATGTTGGTTGCAGTAGTGGCCCCTGACCCTGTTAACCAATGATAGTAATACTGGTACAGCTTCCTACTACTGTGTTAAATGTGTCAGTTATAGGTGATGTGATCATAATTAATCATGATTTATCATAATTAATCATGATCATGAATAATCTCCATTAATTGAGAATAATCAGAATTGCTTTCCAATCCTTTGACTTATAAATGTGTATAACTCAAAGTGATTTGTAATTTAAATGGTCCAAGCTAAAGTAGCTAGCAGTTGGCTAGCTCAGATATTGATGGATGATAGTGGTGGTTCCTTTACATCAGGGTTTACACAAATTAAAAAAAAAAGAAAAGTTTGCGCCCATGAGATCTGGATGGAGACGTTTTGTTTTTTTTTACTTATTGAAAACAAAGTTCTTCTTCTTTGTGTTTTCAGCAAACCTCCAACACTGTTGCTCTGCTTTCCTCTCTCCTCTGTTAGTCTTTAAAGAGAACATGAATAATTGCCTTTGCCAGTCGTGAGATCCCGGCAACACAGGATCTTAAAACACCTGCCCAGGAGACAGGTGACCTGGTTTGACTCAGAGGACTGAGAATGAGACGATCATTTAGGCTTAAAAGTGGAGAAATACACATGCTTTTTCACAGACTCAGACTCAGTGTCATTTCACTGGGATGTAGACAATAGTGAGTTCAGCCTAATAGCGTTTCTTTTCAGTGTCCATATAAAGCTAAGACAAAACTAAGTCCCTGCTTCCTTGGACTTAATGAGTGAATTAAAGCCGACGGAGCACAAAACCAACCATCCAGTTGAATAATATTATTTAAATGTAATTTCAATTAAAATGTCAAAAGCCCACGTCGAGTCATTTCCCTGAAACCTCCGTGATTGGGGCTGTTTTTTTTCTTTCTTCTTCTTCTTGAAGCTCTTTGTGTTGCCTGATACAAGCACATGAAATGGTTGTGATGAAAACGTGGCATGGCCGCCTTCAAACCTCTGCTACTGTGATAAAAGACAAAGCCCAAAATGGTGGGACGCAGGACCTTGAGGGGGGGGAGAAAAAAAAATCCGCCTATTAATGAGAGAGCGTGAGCCAAGTAAGCAACAGCAGCCAGGTCTAATTTGTTTTAGGTGTGCTTGGAATAGATAAGGACAAATCTGGGGCCTTTCCCCCACCCCCCACCCTTTGCTTCCTTGGAGATAGCGCCGAACGCTCGCAGCCAATCTCTGTGGGCAGGAAAGAGAGAGAGAGAGAGAGAGAGAGAGAGTGAAGAAGTGAGAAAAAAAAGCAGAAAAGTAAATCCTGGGGGACAGTCGGCCTGAAGATCTACAGATCTCCAAGTCACTGGATTTATTTGAGGTTAAAAAGTGCAGGTTAATTTGGTCGCTGAGGTCTGAAGAAGGGCAGAAAAAAAAACACAGGAGGCGCGAGGCTGTGCTCCGCTCAGCGTCTCAACCTAAAGGGCAACCTTAAGCTCCTGTCAAGACAATAGGATTTTTCTTCTGGAACGCTGATGCAGACTGCTTAATTATACACATCTCCGCTGCAAAACTGCCATCAGCGTAGTCTCTCCACCCCCCCT